CTTAGTTATTGGAAGTTGCACAGCATATACGTAATGAACACGCATCTTAACATTTCATATTTTCTCTCTGGTGATGATTTTTAATGTCTGCTGTTTTAAATGGATAGAATCAAGAACATAATTCTCTGGACTGTCAGCACAACAGATCTAAATATCAGCTACTAACGATCACCATACAAAGACAGGTCTGAGAGTCGGGTAGAATCAAGACAGTAAAGTTGTCACTTCTGTTTGTCGCTTCACGGCAGTGATTACCCATCTGTTGTCATGAGCAGAATAGGTAAAATACCAGTTAATAGTAGGGAAACCATAATTGTGATGGAACATCACCTACCCCACTGGTGGGCAATAACAGTTATGACCCATTTATGGTGAAGAGCAGAATAGTTCAAATACTAGTTAATAGTAGGGAAACCGTAATTGTGATGGAGCATCACCTACCCCACTGGTGGGCAATAACAGTTATGACCCATCTGTTGTGATGAGCAGAATAGTTAAAATACCAGTTAATAGTAGGGAAACCATAATTGTGATGGAGCATCACCTACCCCGGTGGTGGGCAATGCGCGTTTTAACTGTGTTAAATTGGGTCACAGTATGTTGTAACCTGTATAGTTTTATGCCCACCATGGCTGAACAGAAACACATTTTTGTGAACATTAAGCTCAGGTAATGTCACCGTCAAATTGGCTGCCTTCATCAGAATCATGTTTGTTGTCGGTTACATCTGATCGACAAGTCATTCCAAGTCTTTGTATAATATGTCTTTGAGTTTGCAGAACTCTTATGTAACCGATACTGAACCTTTCACTGAACAGAGTGAGTGAGTGAGTGTCGCTGTAAGCGGTATTCCAGTTATACCATGTCCATGTAATGGAGGAAATGGTGGAACTCTAGAACATGGGAATGGTGCTGCCAAACCTAGAAACATCATCAGGGCTAACCAGGAGTCACACCCCAAACCTCGGGTTTCTGACGTATACAAGGAACTTCACTGAACCTCAGCAATAGTGATCCAAATGTACACTCCGCACCAATCCATCTTCTGAGTTGTATGTCCTGTTTCAGCTAGACAAAATGTACTTCTACTCAATTTACGTGAGCAGCTCTGATGAAAGATGGGGCGCCCTTGACAACAAGGTCACCACAGTTTATATATAGTTTTTAGGTGCTGATCAATAATTACACCAAAGACAGAACTATCTGACATTTCGACCAATAGATTTAGTATATGTCCACCCCGTTGGTATTGATTAGTGTACACGAAAATATGAGTATTATAATATATACTGTGGGAACAAATCCGTCTGCTCCAATGGTAATTACTATTATCAATACGGTTGAAAGAATGAACTTTAAACTTTCAATAGAATCCTTTTTGAGTTAGGTACATTCACCGAAATACGAGGTTGCATTTTGGTCTTTATGTAACATGCCAGAAAGTTGTTAAACAACTCATACGTTTAGGTAACAGTGAATTTCACTTCCGAAAACCCACATTGAGAATTATGTAAAACGTACTTAGTCCTTTCTACATCATGGAACTGGAATTTCTTGGATAAAGTTATGTGTAACAATCCAAGCCTTTGTATACATTTAAAAAAAATTAAAAATGAAAAACATTTCATTGGGGTCATTGGGGAGATGTTGTACCTCTGATCCTCTTTTCAAACTTGATAGTAGATTAAGACGAAACAAGTGAAACTTCTAGAATTGTTCACCAACAAGCCTGTCATTGTGTCTCAGAGAGCAGTACCCATTGTCTTGCCGTGGCACTTCATTTGCCTGTATACACACATCTGCATGTACACAACATCCCGGAATACAGTTGTATGAAAGAAAGAACTCTCTCTAGAATCCGCCGCGTTGGAAAGGCTGTTTTTGACAAACTGTTTTGATACAAACTAGGTATTGATCACCAGTTTGAAAGACATCTGGTGTAAAAATACTTAAATACGTCAATGCCGTAAGAAACACGTTGTCCATGATGTTTGCATTACAGTTTGATCCCGCTTGATGTGGCGTATTTTCATGAAAGTTATGACAAAGAAACACATTCTGAATGTTTCGGGGAAGTTCGTTGCTACTGTTGTGACTACAACTAGATGCAAACGATTTAGTGATCAGTTGTATTGTCTTAGATATGGTAAGCTCGTGCAGCAGTAAAGGAAAACTAAATACCATTAGGTTCTGTCCCAACAAACGATTTAGTGGTCAGTTGTATTGTCTTAGATATGGTAAGCTCATGCAGTAAAGGAAAACTAAATACCATTAGGTTCTGTCCCAACAAACGATTTAGTGGTCAGTTGTATTGTCTTAGATATGGTAAGCTCGTGCAGTAAAGGAAAACTAAATACCATTAGGTTCTGTTCCAACAAACGATTTTAGCTGATCAGTTGTATCGTCTCAGTTGAAAACTAAATACCATTAGGTTCTTCCCAACAAAGATATGGTAAGCTAAGTGCAGTAAAGGAAAACTAAATACCATTAGGTTCTGTCCCAACAAACGATTTAGCTGATCAGTTGTTTTGTCTTACATATGGTAAGCTCGTGCAGTAAAGGAAAACTAAATACCATTAGGTTCTGTCCCAACAAACGATTTAGCTGATCAGTTGTTTTGTCTTACATATGGTAAGCTCGTGCAGTAAAGGAAAACTAAATACCATTAGGTTCTGTCCCAACAAACGATTTAGTGGTCAGTTGTATTGTCTTAGATATGGTAAGCTCGTGCAGTAAAGGAAAACTAAATACCATTAGGTTCTGTCCCAACAAAACGATTTAGCTGATCAGTCGTTTTGTCTTACATATGGTAAGCTCGTGCAGTAAAGGAAAACTAAATACCATTAGGTTCTGTCCCAACAAACGATTTAGTGGTCAGTTGTTTTGTTTAACATATGGTAAGCTCATGCAGTAAAGGAAAACTAAATACCATTAGGTTCTGTCCCAACAAACGATTTAGCTGATCAGTTGTTTTGTCTTACATATGGTAAGCTCGTGCAGTAAAGGAGAACTAAATACCATTAGGTTCTGTCCCGACAAACGATTTAGCTGATCAGTTGTTTTGTCTTAGATATAGTAAGCTCGTGCAGTAAAGGAAAACTAAATACCATCAGGTTTTGTCCCAACAAACGATTTAGTGATCAGTTGTGTTGTCTTAGATATGGTAAGCTCGTGCAGTAAAGGAAAACTAAATACCATTAGGTTCTGTCCCAACCAACGATTTAGTGGTCAGTTGCATCGTCTTAGATATGGTAAGCTTATGCAGTAAAGGAAAGCTAAATACCATTAGGTTCTGTCCATACAAACGATATAGCTGATCAGTTGTTTTGTCTAACATATGGTAAGCTCGTGCAGTAAAGGAAAACTAAATACCATTAGGTTCTGTCCCAACAAACGATTTAGTGGTCAGTTGTATCGTCTTAGATATGGTAAGCTCGTGCAGTAAAGGAAAACTAAATACCATTAGGTTCTATCCCAACAAACGATTTAGTGGTCAGGTGTATCGTCTTAGACATAGTAAGCTCATGCAGTAAAGAAAAACTAAATACCATTAGGTTCTGTCCCAACAAACGATTTAGTGGTCAGTTGCATCGTCTTAGATATGGTAAGCTCATGCAGTAAAGGAAAACTAAATACCATTAGGTTCTGTCCCAACAAACGATTTAGCTGATCAGTTGTTTTGTCTTACATATGGTAAGCTCGTGCAGTAAAGGAAAACTAAATACCATTAGGTTCTGTCCCAACAAACGATTTAGTGGTCAGTTGTATCGTCTTAGATATGGTAAGCTCATGCAGTAAAGGAAAACTAAATACCATTAGGTTCTGTCCCAACATACGATTTAGCTGATCAGTTGTTTTGTCTTACATATGGTAAGCTCGTGCAGTAAAGGAAAACTAAATACCATTAGGTTCTGTCCCAACAAACGATTTAGTGGTCAGTTGTATCGTCTTAGATATGGTAAGCTCATGCAGTAAAGGAAAACTAAAAACCATTAGGTTCTGTCCCAACATACGATTTAGCTGATCAGTTGTTTTGTCTTACATATGGTAAGCTCGTGCAGTAAAGGAAAACTTAAATACCATTAGGTTCTGTCCCAACAAACGATTTAGTGGTCAGTTGTTTTGTCTTAGATATGGTAAGCTCGTGCAGTAAAGGAAAACTAAATACCATTAGGTTCTGTCCCAACAAACGATTTAGTGGTCAGTTGTATCGTCTTAGATATGGTAAGCTCATGCAGTAAAGGAAAACTAAATACCATTAGGTTTTGTCCCAACAAACGATTTAGTGATCAGTTGTATCGTCTTAGATATGGTAAGCTCGTGCAGTAAAGGAAAACTAAATACCATTAGGTTCTGTCCCAACAAACGATTTAGTGGTCAGTTGTATTGTCTTAGATATGGTAAGCTCGTGCAGTAAAGGAAAACTAAATACCATTAGGTTCTGTCCCAACAAACGATTTAGTGATCAGTTGTATCGTCTTACATATGGTAAGCTCGTGCAGTAAAGGAAAACTAAATACCATTAGGTTCTGTCCCAACAAACGATTTAGCTGATCAGTTGTTTTGTCTTACATATGGTAAGCTCGTGCAGTAAAGGAAAACTAAATACCATTAGGTTCTGTCCCAACAAACGATTTAGTGGTCAGTTGTATCGTCTTAGATATGGTAAGCTCGTGCAGTAAAGGAAAACTAAATACCATTAGGTTCTGTCCCAACAAACGATTTAGTGGTCAGTTGTATCGTCTTAGATATGGTAAGCTCATGCAGTAAATAGCATTAGGTTCTGTCCCAACAAACGATTTAGTGGTCAGTTGTATTGTCTTAGATATAGCAAGCTCATGCAGTAAATAGCTAACGTTAGGAACCAATATCTTCACACCCTTGGGCACAATCATGTCAAATTGTTGGACAGGTACGTCATTAATGCAACTTCATCAATGGGGAACATTCCTGGAGTTGCGCCCCCTTGCCCGCTTGGGGCGCTGCGGTAGTTACGGTCCAACAATCGCGGGTTTAAACACTCAAGGGAATATATCGGAATCGTTCGAACTTCAGTAAAACATTAACCTGCACAATTTTCCGGAATTAGAAGAATGAATTACGGAAGCTGGAAGTTGCCAGACTTGAAGACAGAGCTGAAGGCACGGGGTGCAAGAGTGTCCGGACGAAAAATCGACCTAATTGAACGGTAAGTTTCTAACGTTGCCGTTTGATGGTAAACTTATCAAAGTAAATTATTATTTGTCCCCAATTACGTTACATTACACATTGCGATCCTGATATAATGGTCATTGATAGAACAAACATAGGTTTAGTTTACTACTGTTTGGACAACGAGCATTCAACATATAACGTTGTCATTGGCACGAAAATACTACTTACGAGTCTAATGAGTGATTCAGTTTTCGCTCACGTCACTAAGGACGCATTTCGATATTAGGAAGAGGTGTGAAGGCCATATGATTTATACCGAAGGTAAGTGAAGTATCAGTCACCATAATTTATTCATCTACTCAGTGACGGTTGACAGTTTGCAAAACAAAGTATTATATAATCATTTTAAAAAAATGCTGGAGCTCCACAATATCCAGTGGCTGAAGCAAGACTGGTGGTTATCGGGTTCATCGTCCTTTACAGTGAGTGCCTTTAATATTTCCACATTTAAAATGTTATTTTCGAAATGTGTGATGGGTTCACACGTCTTATTTCAGGAAGTGTGATAGGTTCACACATTTATTTCATCCACAAGTGTGAAAGGTTCACATATTTATTTTTGCATCACAAGTATGATGGGTTCATACTTTGTGTATTATTTTCAACATGAAAACTAGATGTAATTAAGCTTTTGAATGGTAGTCTAAAAGACTTTGGACGCCGGTTCGATTCCGGTCAAAGGCAAACACATCAGTAATCCTTGTTAACAGCATGTATTGTTACTTTGTGCCACGTCATATTCTTTTGTTATTACTAATATCCTTTTAATATTTGCTGTTTAGTTTTTCTGATATCAGAATGTATGTAAATACTTTAATGCAAGTACAAATGTCTAGTTTTTGTACTGAAAATATCTTCAGAGATGACTTTAGCTTCATGTATACATAGAATTCGGGAACTTGAGTAATATTTGTGTGTAAGCAAAATCAGGTTAAAGTCAACACAGGTATTGTTATATTGTACTGTTTTCATTTGCAATCATTTTTTTTGTGTGTAACAGTCATGAATTTCCATCTGTTGTTTCAGACTCGAGAGCTATGACCGCAACTGTAATTTTGGGAGGGAGCCAGAACTTGAACCTGAGTTTGAAATGACACTGCCTTTGGTTGACACATATAAGGATGTTAATAGTGACAGCAAGCTCCCATTCTTAGCTTATGAGTCCATTCATTCTTATCTACAACCATTTAAAAAGAAACTTGGTATGAGTGCAAAGAATCTCTACACCAGTAGGTTCTTGAAGTATGTCCGATTTTCAAATCACATTGACAGTAATATGTATTTCCTCAAATCTGAATGCCATGCTGAAATGAAGAAGCATGTAACGTACAAGGTTGATGTAGCAATTGATGAGGATGGTTCTGTTGTGGAGGGGCAATGCGAGTGCGCTGCAGGCCAGGGTCCCTCGGGACATTGCAAGCACATTTGTGCAGTATTATTTGCTATGCACACATTTTCAACAACAGGTGACTTGCTAACAGAAGAAACCTGTACACAAAGATTACAAACCTTTCATAAAAGCAAACCCTATACAGGCAGCCCAATTAAGGCAGCTGATCTTGACTTGTGTAACAGTGAACTGGGCGTTATATTTGATCCCCGACCAGTGAAATATCGCAAAGTCACAAATTATCCTGACTATTTCCGCAATGTGTGGTTAAACCACCCTTGTGTTAATACCTTACCAGTTTCTCAAATGTTTCCTCCAGCAGATCCGTTTGCTGTTAATCATGATCATGACTATCTTGAATTAAGTTCAGCTGATCAATACTTAAAATCTCAGAATATATCAGAAATATCTGATGTTGACAAAAGCAACATTGAAATACTTACCCGTAAACAGTCGAAGAGCGAGGACTGGAGAACTGAACACACAAAGAGAATTTCTTCATCCAATTTTGGTAAAATTTGTTTGGCATCAGACAAAACTGACTTTCATAAACTTGCTCGAACAATGACCGAGCCTTTTGAGGACATTCAGAGTCCACCACTAAGACATGGGAGAAAATATGAAAAGGTGGCAATAAAAGCTTTCCAAAAGTCAAGTGGTTGCAAAACCTCACCATGTGGCATGTTTGTGTCGGATGTTCATCCATTCCTCGCAGCTTCTCCAGATGCAATTCTTGGAGATGATACCACTGTTGAGGTGAAATGTCCATTTGCTTCTAAGGACCGTGTAATCTCTGAGATAACTGTTCCCTATTTGAAAGTATCTGATGGCAAACTGACCCTCGACACCAGCAGACCATATTTCTTTCAAGTGCAAGGGCAGCTCTACTGTACTGGTAGAAAACAGTGTATATTTGTTGTATACACACTGAAGGATTTGAAGTATTTTACTATAACCCGGCATGATCATTTCATTGAATCTATGGTTGGAAAACTTGTGTCATTTTATGACAAGTTTTTCAAAAAGGCATTACTGGATAAATTCTATTTCAGAAATTATGACAGATACTCATGGTAAATTCAAAATACATTGTACTGACATACATAATATTACCTATGGATAATACACATGTGTCAGTAGTCAAAAACAAACAATGAGGAAAGACTGGATGTTGTTTCAATTTTTAATGCTGAACTTATTATATTATGCATGTTTGGACATTCATGACCAGACACAAATATAGTAATTGAAACAACAGCAGGGTTCCAAACAGAGATGCTATACTCTTCTAAATAAATACATTTTCTGTTACTGTAACATGTAACAGTGAGCACATAATCTAGAATTCCAAGTGTTCGAAGATGTCACTCTGTCACCAAACAGAGATGTTATTACTCTTCTAAATAAACAGTTTCTGTTACTGTAACATGTAACAGTGAGCACATAATCTAGAAGTTCCAAGTGTTTGAAGATGTCACTCTGTCACCAAACAGAGATGTTATTACTCTTCTAAATGAATACATTTTCTGTTACTGTAACATGTAACAGTGAGCACATAATCTAGAAGTTCCAAGTGTTTGAAGATGTCACTCTGTCACCAAACAGAGATGTTATTACTCTTCTAAATTAACACAGTTTCTGTTACTGTAACATGTAACAGTGAGCACATAATCTAGAAGTTCCAAGTGTTTGAAGATGTCACTCTGTCACCAAACAGAGATGTTATTACTCTTCTAAATGAATACATTTTCTGTTACTGTAACATGAATACAAAATAATACATTTTCTGTTACTGTTTCATGTAAAAGTGAGCACATAATCTAGAATCTGTTTGAAGATGTCACTATGGTTCCAAACAGAGACGCTATCTTTTGTCTCATTAAATACAGTTACTGTCACATGTAATAGTGAGCAGTAGTGAGGTTCAAGCAGATGAAAACATGACAACATACATGTACACATAACACAGGGATTAGTGATGTATGCTAGATAAAATCAAGGGGCATTCAGAATCTTCAAAGATCATGCCTCAGTGTTTAACTTTTGTACATATGCCTGGTGAAATTGAGACATAAACATTGGGATGCAATTTACAATGATAAGTTGCTCTGGAGTTGAATCAAGCTCTGTCAACTATTTCTATGGACATATATCTATACCCCTTATGAGTCATTGTGGGTTTCATTGTTTCAATAAGCTGTACATCATTGATTAAATTGGGGGTGAATGAAATAACATTATTGAGTTGTTCATTTACAAATTACATTTACAACTTTAATGTTGTTTTTGCATTTGTTGAGGTAGAAACATGGAGTTTGAATTATGTAGGTACAGATTTACAATGTGTGTCTCTTGTTTTTTTTCATGTTTTCACCTGAATCAACAATAACCACATCAGAATTCACTGATATCATAAATTCCCAATTTCAGTAAGCGAGCATGGTTACACACATTTATCTTAATTACTATTTCACCAGACTTTCACTTTCTGGTCTCAGCATGACTCATAACATTTCACTGTATCCTCATCATTATTTAACAATAATGTTCAATCATACATACACTGAAAACAGCAGGAAAACATGTAATTGTAACCGTCCTGATCAGCAAGAAGAAGGAACAATGCACTTTTTGAAAGAACAAAGCATAAAACAAACTGTGGTTATTTCTGTGGCTAGCTTGGTTTCCGAACTGTTGAGTGGCTCAGTCAGTATTTTGAATGTTTTGGCCAGACCAATAATACGTTCAATGTGAACTCTTTTGCTTGATATTTTCCTATCACGTATAACACTCTTGCCAGACATACGGTTTTTCTTTGAAAAGAATGTTGGCATATTAATGGTCACATCTTTGGGTGCAAATATATCTTGTACATTAAAACCTTTATCAGCCATGACACTATCCCCTGGGTCACACAACACCATCAAACTACTACGCTCTACTATCTGACGATCACTTGTGGAGCCACCATATGCAGGTGACACATATGACACAAGACCACCGGGTGTAGATCCAACAAGGATTTTAATTGTATTACGATTCTTGTAGGTTGAGTACGTAGACTGCTGAGCAATGGGGCGTTTAGGTTTCTGGATGGGGCATTCAGTACCATCTATGATAATCCTTGTAGAAGGAAATTTGGACTTGAAGTCAGAAGGACAAAAGTAATGCACTAAGTCTCTTTCAGGCCAGTTATCAAGCTCACTCCACTGTCTATACATAAAATTTACCCAAGTGATCCATATATTTATAACAGTTTTCTCAGAAATTCCAAAATGAAGACCAAGTTCGAAATTAGTCTTGTGTCTCCGCAATTTCATAAGTGTTAAAAACAACTGATTTTCAACACTAATGGTCATACTGTCTACTTTACTGTACAGGTAATTCAGATGATATGCACAAGGACCCAAACTTGCAAGTACAAAAGTGAAATCTGTATAATTTGCTAGTCCTGTGTAAAACATAATTGCTGCAGCATTGAACATGATACTCTGTATCGAAAGCATTGGACATTTATCTGTCTGGCTTGACGTATTTTCATACACAGCCTCTGCACTGCATTGAGAAATATTGTGCGGCTCAGAATTCATATCATCAAATTCAATATGGTCAATTATTTCCTCCCCTGCTAACTCATTGATGTTACATTCAATATCACATTCAACATTCATAGTATCAAATGTCCTCTTTCTGCTCTCCCGTTGTTCGACACGACACTGCCTTCTATTGGCCTCAAGTGGGTCGGCTGATTTGGTCCAGGGAAATATTGAAGGCACAGCATCCAGTTTTCTTTGCTTCCTCAGAGGTGTACATCCTGGAAAAACCATACGATTATATAATGTCTAATATGACAATTGGGTAATCTTATCTTGTGACTACCAACTATGAGATGCTATGTTATGATAAGATTTTAAGTCACCTTGTAGTGAAACAACAAATTTCCATGGGCACAGTATGTTCTGTCACAATGTAAAAATAATCACTGAAATTTTGACACGAGTCTAGGTGGAAAAACTTTTAATGGTTGACATGAATAATAAACTGTAAAATTAACCTAACATTTAAACTATGGAGACTCAAAACATAAATTATCTTATAATTTCTTGTGTAGTGCCAACAGTACATGGAGTACTCGACATTAAGTATTGTCTTCAACAAGTGCACATGACTTATCTCTGTCAAAATCATGCCAAAAGTGAACAAACATGAACCTGTATTCTTGAGTCATCTGGGTCTCAGCTTGTTGGAAAACCTGTAGGAAGATGTAATATGATGCATTAAAATGAAAAATGTCAAATATGCATTGACATTCCAGGATGATTTCAATTCAATAATAAAGTAAAGGAACTGTGACAATGGTTATGGTCAATAAAAAACAACTTTTCAAACATGAATATAATTAAACAGGATTTTAAGAACAAGCAGTAAATATTCAATTATCAGGTTCACATGCAAACACAATTGTGAAATATCAATAACCATAAAACATGTTCATGATTTTTTTCATAGGAAATCGACCTCCATTCCCATTTACTTGCCTACTCCTTCTCTGACAGGAGGGACAAAACTTTAAAGTTTTAATTACCTTTTCTCAATTCAACTTAACATCAAAGTGTAACTGTAATCAGATGTATCACCGGGAGCTATGATATCTATGAGCTGTGTATGAGAAGAATGGCCAGGTAAACTCAACATGCCGTATAACGTGTTGAAAGCTAACCTAAAACATGGGTGAAATAAAGTATCAAGAATGATTCAAAATACGAGTAGAGTATGATATTAGCTTTTCATTGATGAAAAAGGTGGAATAAATATAACCAGTGAATAAGGTATACATAACGAAAATGGCGGCTGGTCATGGAAATTTGACAACCGCTTCAGAGTAATGAATGAACCTTCATTTATTTCCTACAATTCCAACGTGACATGTAAATTGTTCCTTAGACTGTTTGGGTAATATTACTACGGATAAAGTGTTCATATCCTACAAAAGTTGGGGAACATGTTTTAAAGTTGTACCAACATAATATGACACGACATGTAATTGCCATAAAATTAATAATGCTGTGAGCTAAAGGGAAATAATAGTAACACGGAATGGTTCAAACCATGTGAAACGTTTTTCCTTCATGGAAATATTTTGTTCTTACCATAACTATTGACGGCAATGAAATCAGACGGTCGGAAGTGGGCGTGACACACAACACTGTAAGCTGACGGCTTCCACATCTTTCCTTGATTCGAATCGTCACTCCTACGAATGGCCACCATCCATCGTTTTAATATGACTGGATCACTTGGAAAAGCCAAGCCACCGCGATTGCTGCATCCCGGGACACAACAGCAAGTCGCAGGCATTGTAGTACTGCGTTGATATACTTAGCGGTGAAAACACTTCTCCGAACAGTTTCGAAATACCGGAAGTACGCGTAGGACCGTAGTGCTTGGCGCCATCTATAGGCGAAGCGGTAAAGGGAGATAACTGAGGAATGTTCCCCATTCATTTACTGTTGTAAATGTGTTCATCTATGTGTCAGTGTTATGTATCATCGGTGCTCAAACACTGCAGCTCCAAGTTCATGGAAACAGAATGAAGTTGTGGAACCAAACTGTGACCAGCCGTAAAAAGTGTCCCAATGTATAAGATATAATTACCATCTTTCAGCCGAGGTAGATATCAACTGTATAGTGAAATAAAAAAGTCCTAGAAACTGACGATCTTTGACTGTGACCAGGACCCACTACTTAACTGTATGATGATGAGCTAGCGTTAACAGGGAAGTGTTGACGTCAAATCTTCGTTTACTTGGGATAAATAATTCGAATTTATATCCCACCATAGCATTGCTTTGAGTCAGGTTCGACAAGATTGCAAAACAAGACATCCAATAGTCGGCAGATACAGGTTAAAATATCCAGTTGGATATGAGACGTTTCACTTCTAATACAACCGAAACGCATTGTAGCAGAAGGTTGGTTGGTCTGTTGTTTAACGCCACACTCCAGCTATATGGCGGCGATTTGTAAATACTCGAGTCTGGACCAGACAATCCAGTGATAAACAGAATGGGCATCGATCTATGCAGTTGGGATATGATGACATGTGTCAACCAAGTCAGCGAGCCTGACCACCCGATCCCGTTAGTTGCCTCTTACGACAAGCACGATTTGCTGAAAGGGGTTTCTAATCCGGATCTTCACGGGTTGTAGCAGAAGTACTGATAATAAACTATATAATACCTCCCCCTTCACCTTTCCATTGTTTCTGTAATATTTGAACTTATGATGATTTCTGTGAATAACCCACACCCTCCATAACCCAGAACCGTCTCCGTGGTGTAGTGGTTAGAGCGTCCACCCGGAGAGTGAAAGGTCGCGGGTTCGATCCCCGTCCGCTTCGTACCAAAAGACGTCAAATATGGTATTTGTTCCCTGCCTGGCGCTCGGCATTAATGGGTACAACAAGGACTGGTCGGCTCGGAGTCAGTATAATGTGTCTGAGTGGGGAATTCATGCTTCACTGTGGCATTGTATCTCAGTGAGCTAACACTATAAAACCAGCTTAAGTCTGGGCTAGTACAAGCAGCCACCCACACACACGCATGCAGGTCGTCAAGTACGACCTTAAACCCAATTTCACCTCACCTCACCAGAACTACATAAGGCTGCCTGTCGCCAGGATACCTGTTTGAGAGGCATTTCTAGAAGTTGTAATTAATAGGAATGACAAGTGTTTATGGATGATCAACTTCTTTATTGTGCAATAGCGACGTTTCGGTATAGATACTTATACCGTTTTCAAGCATCATCATGCAAAGAAGAAGAAGTTGATCATCCATAAAGACTAGCCATTCCTGCCACGGTACCTATTTGTTGACAAACACCTGACACCTGCGCTGATGTAATATAATTACTTAATGCTATCAAATAAATAACTGTTCCTTAGGGTACTTACAGTGTTTGAATATGATTATGTGACAGCGACACGTGTCAAGCCGTTACAATGATTAAAGGAGGTAGTTCAGCATCTGGTGTGCACTTTACTGTACTATGAAAGCACAGAATTCCTCATAGCTCAAGTATGTGTATGTACTTCCATTTCCATAATGAATTTCTCACACAAATAAGTTTTAAAAACCACATATGCGTCTATGCTCCACTGAAAGGTCGATATGCAAATCATGGGAGTCGTGCCAATTTACACTTATCAGGGGAGTAAGGGGGCGGTGGGGTAGTCTAGTGCTTAAAGCGTTCGCTTGTCACGCTGGAGACCCGGGTTCAATTCCCCACATGGGTACAATGCGTGAAGAACATTTCTGGTATCCCCCGCCATGATATTGCTGGAATATTGCTAAATGCGGCTTTAAAGTCAACTCACTCAAATCAGAGGGGTACACAAAGTCCGTGGCCTGGAAGCTGAGTGGGTTAGATGGCTGACTTTGTGTGCTGGCGATTAGGTGCCTGACTCTGAGGGTGTGGGTTTGAATCCCGGATGGGTCTCAAACCAACAAAAGTCCGAGAATTTGTACTTCACTGAGAAAGTGTAATCCCAAATATGTCATGTGTTATTACGAAAATAGATAAGTCTGTTAGATAATTATATCACAAAGAAGGCTGTTATAAACACCGTCAAAATATATACACATGAAAAGAAGTATCGCAGCACCTATGGTTTGTAACCTCCATATAGCCATATATATTCATATCGTATTTGTTTTTGTTTGTATGATGTTTTAATCCTTTGGGTGCGCCATACATTGATTTTAGATATGCACGTAGCGGTCATTAAGCAAATAAACTGTAAATAGTTCTTACAGTTCGATAACATGGAAAATCATTTCATTTCGTTGTTGATAAGCAAATATAGGGTTTCTTCAGCTGGCAACTGCTCGAAAATGGCAAACTATTGGTATGTGGAATGGGGGGATACCAATGTAGATTTTTGTTATGCTTGTACATCACTGTGGGCTACTGCAAGAAATGTTCGTTGTCATCCATCGACTGTCAGTCGACTGATCAGAAAACATCAGCAAATGAGGTTAAGGACCGTCTGATCGACAACTCCTAGGGAGAATACAGCCCTTCTCAGAATCACAAGGTTTCTTTAATTAATGTCAAGTGGTGTGTAGAAAACAGAGGGGCTTCCACATCGTCGTTTGTCCAGCAGAACATTCCGAAATCGCCTTAAGTCGACCATGTATAGAGCCAGACGACCCAGCTGCCGTTATCTCCAGAGCACATAGGAGCACTAGCATGGTGTCAAGGTCGACGTCACTGGAAGTGGCGGTCATGGTGAAGGGTGCAATGGTGGCACGCACGTCGAATTTATTTGTTCATGACTGATGGCCGTGATATGTTTCCTTTTTACGATCAGACAAAATCTAAAAGGACAACAGTACATCACTGCCATCCTAGACTTGTTGTAACACGTTTTGATGGCCATCCTCGTGGTCAGTCTTCATGACAACAATGGTGGTGATTTCATACGTCAAGAGGCAGTAGCAATTCTACCGTTGCCCGCCAGACGTCCATATCTCAATCTCATAGAGCAAGTTTGGGACATTACATATCGCAGAACACACCAGAGAGATCCACCAGTACAAAATCTTAATGTTTTTTGTTCAAGCATTCCTTTAAGAATATAACGCTATGCCTCAACGTCACATCCAACGTCTGATACAGTGAGTGAGGAGGAGAGTCAGGGATGCTATAGCAGACGGCGGAGGTTACACCAGATATTGACACTGTGTCGGTGCTTGATACCTATACTTGGAATAAACCCATTCTATCCCAGACTGCTGCCCAAAGAGCTTGATATAAGTGACATATTAAATAATGCCACATTTTAGGCCAGTATGTTAGCTGAGGTAAAGATCTGCCAAAACCATTCATTGGCTATTCTTCAAAACCTGAAGACATGTCTTCTTTTTGTTCCGCATTCCAAAGCACCATTAAAATCGTTTGATATTTCAACGTTGTACCTCATAATTCCACATGTCAAATTTATCGAAAAACGAGAGTCTACATGTTGCTATTTCTCGAGCGAGAGCGAAAGATATACAGATATGTAGGGACGAGTGCCGGTAGATTTTGGACAGGATATTCAGTAAGACGGCGGTATGGGTGTGGATGTACTTATAGCTTGAGGTTTAGGTTGATGCTTGTTGGATAGACAGTAGATGATCATTTCCGTTTCGGTGAGGGTCGAGTAACAGTGTCTAGATGGGAACCGGTGCCATATTGAATAGTTTGAGAGGTTGACCTGCTTTAGCTGAACATCGCGGGACTAGTGAGTCACGTGTGGTGAGTCAAGGAGTTAGAGGGAGAGGAATGTTGCACAACTGCTGCTGGTACTTTGTAGATCAGGTGAGTGAGGGAGCTGCAGTTTCGCTGCTTTTAGCAATATTCCAGCATGCCAGGGGACATGAGAACTGAGCTTCATACATTTTAGCCAAGTAGGGACTCGAACCCGGCGTGGCTAGCGAACGCTTGAACCACCCAGCAGGCTAGCGTCCCTTGAGATCAAGGAGTAAATGGTGAGTGAGTTTAGGTTTTACGCCGCACTCAGCAATATTCCAGCTATATGGCGGCGGTCTGTAAATAATCGAGTCTGGACCAGACAATCCAGTGATCAACAGCATGAACATCGATCTGCACAATTGGGAACCGATGACATATGTCGACCAAGTCAGCGAGCTTGACCACCCGATACCGTTAGTCGCCTCTTACGACAAGCATGGGTTACTGAAGATCAATATTCTAACCCGGACCTTCACGGGTAGTAAATGATGAGTGGGAGCGATGCTACACAAGCTATTGATAACCATGAACCTGATCGAGTACTCATAGAGTGCTCATTCTTAGCAGTATCTCTATCCCTGAAGTTAGAACCCCCTCTTTCACTAAACGCTGATCAACCATGATCAATTTCTTTATTCGCACAAGCCACTCAGGCTAGTTCGCGGCAGTGGTAGCAATACACTATTCACGTATTAAAGAGGTAACAGATGATAGCCCGGTGACAGGGGTTTTCGACCATGTAAGACAAAAACGTAATTCTAATCTTTAATATCATTTAAAGGTTTTATTTAACTAACCTTGAGTAATAAAGGATATGTTCATCTAGTTCACACAAAAAGATCAAGTCTTTCCTACAAAAATAGCGTTGATGACATCCTATCGGCGAAACCATTGCCGCTCTCAACATACGGGGATTTTGTATGGGTTTTCGACGATGAGCCATACTTTTCGCTCCGCAC